TTATGCTTTAGTCACTGATGAAAAAACTTTTGCGAGAAATCACTTTTTACCATACATTTTCAACAGTAAAACTGATAAAAGCGTCTATGAACAGGGACAATTATTTTGACAAAAACAATTATATTTTCGGCAGTAAAACTTCAAAACTGGTAAACAATGTTTACTCCAGAGGCAAGATCAGCAAAAAAAATCACATTCTGACGGGCATAGTTTTTCACTTTTTGTTGGTAAAACTCGAAATTTTGGAGCCAAAACTGATAATCATTAGCACTAAATCTAGATTTCTTACACTTTTGGTGTTGCAAAGGATTGCCAATTTAGCAGCATTTAGAACAGCAAAAATTGTATTTATAAAAAGAAAACCTTAACAATTTAGTGGGAACAATAGAAACGTTTTGGTAACAAAACTTCTAAGCTTTTGATTAACGTTGAGGTTTCGACCGATAATATAACATAGTCATTGTGTGAGATCAAAACATTTTTCCAGGYAATTTAAACRGTCACTTCAAKATTTCAATTAAATCAAATTTGTTTGGTATTTTTGTGGAAATAAACCAACGATTTAATGAGAACTATTGTTACTTTTGGGAATTACAAATGCGACTRMTTTTKCAACTAAAAAGCACAACTATTTCCTAAAAATTTTCGATTCTATCAGTTTTGTCAGCAWAACTTGAAATCTAGTGCRGATAGAACAGCAAAAATTGCGTTTYCTCGAAGAAAACACCATCGTTTTAGTGGGAGTAATTKACTTGAAAGAAGATRTTTTAATGATTCGGGCTGAGGTCMATTTAAGAAAAAAACCTGKTTTAAATGCAGTKYTAACAGGAAAATTTGCAAATGTTATYATGCTTTTWTTTAACGAAAATGGCAATTATTYGCTCTAAATCTTCAAGTCAACTCCTAGAAAACAAGCAAACCATATCCAATCTAAGAGAGCTTAGAGCAGAAAAACTGTRTTTTTAGGAAGGAGAACACCAACGATTTATTCGATTKATTAAACTTTATTCAGCTGAACAAAAACAACCAAACCGTCGTTGGAAAAACAGTAGTTTTGAWAAAATCCTCATTTAAATGCATTTTAGCCGTAAAACGGGGAAATTCCTCAACCATTAAGACAARACAAGCATCCAAWAGCACTAATTTTCATTTAGAAGCTCAAAATGACARTAATCAGTTTCCCATATGATTTTAATTGTCTGGTCTATTGGTGGCAAAGCYYYAAAGTTATTAAGCAAAAAAATGGCAATTAAGTCCTTCAAAAAATATAAATATAAATAAACKTATGAAGTTGCAATAATTAATCGAATACACAAGCAGCACACAGAAGTTTTGTAGCAGAATGCATCGAAAAAGGTTTAGAAAAAACCAAATAAGTCAATAGAAATATAGTTTCAACCCCAAAAATTGTAAGGAAAATCGATTCTTTGGGGAAAAATCCAGCTCAAAAGCCTAACTATTAGCTCTGTGACTCCAGTTACGTAATATCCCAATAAAGCTGTAGAAGACATATCGGTTTTTCGGACCGCCCAGGTGAAAACCCTCGGTTTGCTACAATTGTTTCCTAGAAAATTCCCTCGAAAATCAAAAGATTAGGACAGACAATGCGAGTGTGACGTTGAGAATTATGTCGCACATTCACGCCTGCAACCTACAACTCACAAAGAATCGGTAGCATTTGTGAACAATTAAGATCAATGAGTTTTTGTGTCCATTTAGTAGTCACATGGGGAGTTTTAATGCCGAAGCTAATTGAAACGTCCGTCCAATTATATTTTTCTTTTTCGCCTTTTCTAATGGCGCTCTCACGTTGCGCTCATTTCCTACCTTTACCAGCTACTATTTCGCCTGATTTTGCTCGCATTTAAATGTAGACTTTGTAGACATACAGATCAAAAAACTAATCTTTCGCAAACATGGCTTGAACTAGTGAGATTTTCCGCTTTTTAGACTATTGTGGAAAAGAGTTTCTTGAACCAGTCCGCCTRAAATCCCGAAAAACTCACCAACTGTAGTTCAGTAGCCTGACAAAAAGCTTGGAGGCGCTTTTTTGGCCAAAAGCCTATTTTGCTTCGGAAATTTCKCGACTATTTCCCAAACCGTGCGTTGAAAGAGATCCGTTACAAATTRTATATATTCTTCTTGCTGACCAGCGCCCAACCTTTTTTCTTGTGTGACACGCCGCGTTGTACAGCGGCAGTCTTCATCAGTTCACTGTGTCCGAAAATTTATGGCCTGAAAAAAATCGGCCAGAAAATCGGATGATTTACAGCTGGGGGTGCTTTCCTGACACGCACATAAGGGCTTTCTAAGCAGCGTTGATGGTCTGCGCCTTGTCGGTATGTTCTTCTTGTTTTCAAATGTATTTAATTACACAAGGACCGCTACTATTGACCATTCGGAGCCATCGGCTCTTATTTCACTAGCCATCCGCATTGATGACTTTCGGCTTTGCATAAAGGGATTTATTGAATAATTCTTGTAGTCAACCGGATGGTCAAGTGGAATGTTTGCTAATTTTAGTGGTTAGAAAAGCTAAAGAAAATGTTCAATTCGTGTTTGTACGTAGCCGAACTTATATAATTAGAGTTTTTTGCAAAAATGTGTTTTTTAGCTTTGACTGATATTTTTTTGCTTTACTTTTTATTCAAAAGCGCTCTATTTTGTAGAGTTTTACTTAAAAATACTGACGATCTGGAGATCGTTTACGCGAAAAATTACAAGATAAATGTGTAGCTTTGTAAAAATTTTACGAAAACTTTTTTCAGCATCGAATTCGGGACAAAGACGAAAATAAATTCCTCCCGTTTTTCCCGAAAACCATTAAGCTTTTCTCCAAAACCAACCTAAAACTAAACATTTTTAATCGAAAACGCAGACAACAATAATTTTCTGATGATTTTCTTCTTTTCTGACAATAATGGGGTCTTTTTGGACAAAATGTAAATGAAGATTGTTACAAAATTCGCCGCATTCATCGGTTTGCAGGGAACTTTAGAAAACCCATTCCAGCTTCGAATTTGGCACAAAAAGCAAATAATTTTATTTTTTTTTTGCCTAAAGAGCAAAAGTTATTATTTGGAAAATTCTCCGCCCTCATCGCTCTGAAGATTTTTAAAGTTTATTTAAATTTTCAGGACATTCCAGTTTTAAAAAAGCTTCTTTTAAGCAAATCTTTCTACCCAAAAAATTGCATTGTTTTTTAGTTTTACTTAAAATGCTGACAATCTTCAGGTAATTTCTGTAAAAAATTGTAAGATAAATTTTATTGGAACATTGGCCTCTTAACAGCATTGCAAACATTTTTGGAAAACTTTTTTAAGCTTCGAATTATGGACAAAACCCTAATAATTATTTCTGGGTCCAAAAATATTTCGCCGAACTGCAAAAGCGAAAGTTTATAATCATTTATTGGGAAAACTCTTGGAAACTGGAAAACTTCACTTTTAGGTCAATATTTCTAAACAACACTGTCTCTAAACAGAAAAACCGCGTTTTTCTTGACGTTTTACTGTAAAATACTGGCAAACTGATTTGTTTATGCAAAAAAATTAAGAGATGGATTTTACAAGAAAACTCGTCGACTTTCTTTGAACCCCGTTCTGTTGCTGTGAAAATCTATATGAGTTTTTTAGTTGTTTGAACAAAGTAATAAAGTAAAACAATAAAATATGGTTTTCGGTCCTTATATAAGTACCCTTAAACGCGTTTGTTTGCATTATTATACAATCGTAGTTAATATCATCATAAAGTAACTCGGAAGCTATCACAGATACGAAAACAATACCAAAGGCAAAAAATCTTGCACATTTTATTGAGAAATGAAATTTAAGAGAATAAAATAAATTGGACTGGAAACATTGACCATAAACCTAGCAAAAAGTACATCCTGTAGATTATGGCAAGCATTGAGCATTACTAATATAATCACGAATAACCACCCATAATGAGCTAGTAAAAGTTTCAAATTTGTAGACAAAACCAAAAAAACTTTTTACATCCTGTATTTTGTAAAAGAAGCCTGTGTTGACTCTGTATATGCACATTTGTCGTTTCGCCTAATCTCAGTTCACGTTATATTCCATTTTAACTTCACCAAAACAAAAAATAAACTTAAAAGTCCCTAACTAACTCGCCTTAAGTGCAAAAAACTTAATTGCAATCAAACTGAAGAACATCAAGAAAGCACTGTGTATTTTCCAAATGGTGCGTTATGTTCATTGGAAGTAAATCACTGCGTTTGGGCTGTTTTTCCTTTAATTACTCCAGACAACAGATTACCAGAAAATTAATCTGCCCATATTTTTTTTCGATCCAAAATGCAGCTCTATCATTAAATCACGCATTCGCTTCAAAGCTCAGTTCTTAGCCGCCAAATAGAGCCAGGTCCGCTCATTTTCCATCCTAATCATTCTTCGGGGGTCACGTAGTAATTAGAAGCTTCTTTTTGGGCTTATTTATATGGACCAGAGCAGATAGTTTTAATTATAGGTTGCAGATATTGTTTTAGAAACTGTATGATATATTATAAGGCAGATACGTCTCGTGCAAATGATCGAAACCGGCTCAAGCTTAATACCTATGTTTAGCTGATATTAAGGCTCTGTGTCAACTCGGGGATTTTCCCGTGAGATTTTTTAACATAGGTGCAATGCTCTGGATTCAAGGGCCTAATTAGCAGAAGAGAAATTTTCTGCAGCCCTAATTTTGTTTCCAAAATAGTGCTGTTTTGTTTAATTAAAACACCCAACATATGGGTTAAACGCGGCTCGTTTGAAACGCGACTTCGATACGAAAGGAAGGTAAATAGATCGGCCTTAATTCCAATTCAACGGTCGGAAATTCATCTCGTTAAAGACTTTGGCTGCCTCTTCGGCCCCTTTTCCTCCTAGAGGGTTGTCTTTCCCACCCTTAGGGGAGAGGCGCACAGCATCGCGCGCAGTCACGCCTCCTAAAGACCATCATCATCAGTAGAAAATACCGACACCGGTCCCAATCTCAGTTATTAGTGAACCATGCGGGAACATAGATAAGAAGGAGAAGAAGTTGAGTGTTGAACTATGGTGGCCCCTCAAACAGTGCAGCATCTTGACAACACGATCGCAGCGCAATCGCAGGTGCGTGTCTTTAATGATAGTGTTCGCGATTAGGTGCCCCTTAATCATTATTTTATACGAATTTACTACGGAGGTTTCTTCCGCCTTTAGGCTACCAGGTGAACTTGGTTTAGTGGGTGCGAACATTCATTTGCCCCAATTTTTTTAAGTCGACTATTTGCGTTTAGTTCCGTCGATCTTGGCCAAAGTGAACCAATTTTTAACCTTACTGTAAAGCTGTATTTCTTCTTCGTGTGAGTGCGTGTGTGTGTTAAAAAATTATAAGAAAAAATGATATATTTTTTCAATTAAGGAACTTGACGCTGTTTTGGACTATGGATCTTACTAATCGTTCGCATTAATTAGCCATCCAAATCTCGATATGGAATTCTGACTACTTTAATACTGACTACAATTTAATTAAATGAGTTCTCCGACTTCTAAAATCTTGAAAATTCTGACAGACTCTGAAGATGCACGTCAGTCGTGCGTGCGAAACGTCAGGCGATTCTTTTCCTCAGTGGTACAATTGCGTGAAGACATCGATTTTCAGGGCAGCATTGATTTATTTGACAAAATCGTATTTTTTTTTGGATTTCACTGAAATTCTTAGGACGTTCAAACCGACAAGTTGCTTATAGATGACGAAAATTCGGCTTCTGAGGCTCAATAGAAAGTTCATTAAAAAAGGGCATGTAATTGTGTGAAAAAAAATTAATAATTTACTCACATTTTATTGACATTTTTATGGTCTTTAGACCGACAACTTTCTTATACCTGGCGGAAATTTTGAGTTGCTAGTAAACTTCGATGAGAATTTGGCATTTTTTAATGAAGGGCTTGTAATAACGCGGGAAAAAAATCAGCCAAGCATTGATTTGGCTCACAAAAATGAGTGTTTGCTCACATTTTGTTGAAATATTCGAATTGTTTCAGTGGAACTTTATCCATCAATGACGAAAATATTAAGTTGTTACTTACACTCAGTGAGAAGTTGTAATTTATTAAAAAAGGGTGTGCGATAAAATTCACGTTCAGCCCAGCATTGATTTGGCTGAAAAATCAAATTTTCCCACATTCTTTTCGAAATTTACCTTTAGAAAAAAACTATGAAAATCTGCATGCCTTTTAACGGAGAATTGGGTCAATTTCTTGTTTATATTTTTATTATTTCTTTCTGTGAAAACTATAGAATACTAAGACAGGGCTGGAATTGGCTTCAGACATTGTTTGTCCGATTGTATACATTTTATCAAATTTTATTAAATTAAAACAAAAAACGGAATCTGGGTTTTTGGCTATCGCTTCTTCACTGACATGCTCGTTTAAATATTTGATATTGCGCAACAAATCGACCCTTTATCGGTTACAAAGCTTAATAAAATAAAAAATATAAAATCAAGCAAAAATTATCTCTCAAGATCCGCAAGAAATTAACTATTCAAACAACCGATTTCGAAATTTAATTGACAAATTTAAAGCCAAGATGAACTAAGAATTTGTTTTGAAAACTTCGAAAACCGTTACAGACATTTTCAATGCGATCTTTATTTACAGCTTGGAGCTTGGCCTATTTTTGTTTAGTTTTTTATTGCTTCCTTTTATGTAGACCGTAGAAAATTAAGATTTCGCTTCAGAGATTGATTTTTCGTTTGTTTGCATTTATGAAATTAAATATTTATTGGTTGTTTGTGAACAGATTTAGATACGTTGTAAACCCAGTTCCATGATCTACAAAAAGCTTAACAATTTTACACAAACCCGCAAAAAATCAAGTACTTATTCAAACTACTGATTTTGAAATTATATTAAAACATTTAAAGCCAATTGAAATAATTAGAAATTATTTTGGAAACTTGAAAATCTACATATATTTTTAGGTACCTATACAGAACTGGGTTAATTTCTTCTTTAGATTTTATTGTTTTCGCTTTTAGAAATTAAAAAGTAAAAAGATTCAGAGAACAAAAATTCACTTCAGATATAGTTTTTCCGTTTGCAGGTATTGATCAAATTTTATTTAAAAAAAGGAAAATGGCCTTTAAGCTATCGCTTAAAAGATCTAAAATTACGCAAGAAATCAACCATTTATCAGTCGCTTGTGAACAGATTTCGGTACTTTGAAAACCCAACTCGATGATCTTCAAACGCTTGACCAACTTAAAAGATTTAAAAACAATCAACGATATTAAATTAAAATATGCCAAATTTTGCACAGTTCACAATGAAGTTCAATATTCACTTAATTTCGAATAATTAACTTAACTATGTTCAACAGGGTTTAATGTCTGGCAATTAAGTGTTTCGACTCACTTTGAATCTAAAGCGGAAATCTGGACATAAATTGCGCGATTTTGAGGGAGAACAACAATTAAATATTTCGTGCGATTTTCATTCCTATCTATTTGCGTCATTTTGCTCCTATAATTATGCGTCTGTTACTGTGTGATTCAAATAATCGACTTGAGCATTAATTTGTGTTATAATTCAACATTTAGAAGCTTAAAGAAAATAAAAATCGTGTCTTTACAGAAGTTGCTGGTGTTTAAAAACACCCAGTTTGACAACATTAGTTCCTTTAGGATTCTATTAGTTCAGATTTACATACTTGGTTAGACTGTTGGTTGAATCGAGAAAAATTTCGGCAAATTCGCAAAAACATGGAGTTGTACAAGAATCAATCAACTTATTACCGAATCCAACAGCTAGCAGTGTTCATAAAAAAATTAAACGCCATTGACCATAAAAATGCTTCGTTCAACCTAATTTAGCTGACTAAAGCCATATTTTGAATTTATGTTAAACTTTTAAGGCCGGAATCAAATTAAAATAGAGAAAGTTCATTAAAAATCTGAGGTAATAAAAATCTTGATTCAAACCAAAACCAACAAATAATTGTCTGTTATACTGGCGGGTTTGGGATTGCATAGAAACTCCTATTACTTTATAAAAATGCCCGACGTTTATTCAGTTTTAGAAATAAATTAATCCAGTCCCAAACCCGCTATTGGAACAACCATGTAAGTTTTCTTTGCATCTTCATTGTTCTTTGGGGATGCTTAGGCCCCTACCCGATCGAACCAGAGACGTTTTTCCTACAACATTCACTCTTTTTTGCAGATATCGACACCAATCAGCCTTTTTGCCCCCACTTGTGATAGAATGTACTCGGGCAGCTACACTCAGCTGTCGCCCACTAGCACCACGTCTTCAAGCAGCGACAACTACGCAACCCAAGTGCCTCTGGAGACCTTAAGGAGCCCCCTGGACTATTCGCCGCATTACCAGAACCCCTACCCGCCCCGATACAGCAACTGTTTCTACACACACTCTCCACCCTCTGCCGATATTGCTACCAGTGGCTATCAGCCGCATCAGAATCAAATCTATTCACCCTGGGGCCAGCCCAGCTACATGAACCCATTTGGAAGCTCGCCCAACATCATCAATCGGCCTACGATAGGAGTGAACTTCCCCAGCTACACCGGTAAAGCTAGGCGCTGTATTAAGTGCCAATGTCCCAACTGTATTGATGAGGAGAATGGGATCAAGAAGCCGTCCTCGAAGAAAGTGCACATTTGCCACTATGCAGGCTGTGATAAGGTTTATGGCAAAACGTCGCATCTTCAAGCCCACTTGAGGTGGCATTCGGGCGAAAGGCCGTATGCCTGCCATTGGATGTTCTGCGGAAAGCGCTTTACTCGATCTGATGAGCTTCAGAGGCATATGCGGACCCATACTGGGGAAAAGCGGTTTTCCTGCACGGTTTGCTCCAAGCGCTTTATGCGATCGGACCATTTGGCCAAGCACAAAAAAACCCACAAGAATCCCAAGAAAAGCGAAGAACCAGCCAAGGAGCCGAAGGAGAAACCTGCGACTGTTAAACCTCCAGATTCAAGACTGGCCGAGAACGTGCCTACTACTCAAACAACACCAGCCAATGTGCCTGCTCAAGTTACGCGTGTTGCGGACAATTTCAATCACACGTCGAACATGTTTCCCTCCAACTATCCGTCAGTGCGATTTCATCAGAACTTACCATCAACTTACAATATGGTGCCGCATGGAAGCAACCTGAGCGACTACAGTCCTCAACTGTATTCAGCACATAATCAGTATTTCTCGGATTACGCCTATATGTAGAACCCGTTTGGACTGTTTTAGCGGATATGTGCCATAAAATTGTACATTGTTTATTTTTGCAAGCCCTGTTGACTTTAGGCTTAATTGTGTTCGTACTATATTTGTAAAATACATTGAAAAACAGAAATAAATCTTCTAATTTTCATAGAAATTACCCAGTGTTTTCCTAGATTCCATTTGAACTTTCAGCTGCTTGCAACTCTTGAAAGGCACGTTCCAATCAAATGTAAAGCCGATAAATCCTCACTGCCAACGCCAAAATATCACGATTTTTATGTGTCGCTTCGGCAAACTTGCAGACAATTAGTCAGCAATTCAAAAGCCTTTTAAAAGAGCTTTCATTATTAAATTAAACCTACAATTCAAATCCGACAAAATCAAGTCTTGGCTGGTGCTGCACCTAATGGAAACAATTCCAAACTAGAATGTAGCCAAGCGACAAGCAGATGGAGCCAGCATAAGAAATAATTGAGGGTGCTATTAAATGGGCGGGTTTTACGGATGCATGGCCGCCCTGATAGAGGAGGGCAACGAAAGAAAATAAGACAAAAAAGGCAAATTATAGTGTAATATTATGTATGCGCGGTGGGGTACACACAGCAGTGAAAAAGCTAGTTGGATTTAAGTCAGTTTCAATCAAAACACATGAATGTATGCCACTTTTCCGCAATTGTTACAATCAATGCTTCAAACAGTTGAAAGGTCCCGTTTAATCACTGCGTTTAGTGGTCGGGTTGCACGTTGGTGGCGCTACCTACGCGGGTGTTGTGTTGATTTGATTTTTGGACACTGTGTAGAGTGGTAGGGCCCAAAGGGATTTTACTGTCCGAGGATCGAAAGGAAACTGTCCAACATGGACCGGCAGGAGAGGGAGAAGGGACGCGGGTCTCCGGAATTATTAGCCGTAAGTCGTTGGAGCATTCTTGAGCTTAGGAAACATCAAAATGCACATACTTTTACACCCCCGTGCGGGTTTATGGCCCATTCCTCTCTAATTAATACGTGCATTCAAAAATTATTAAAAAAATGTATAGTTTGGCCATATATTGCATGGTGGAGCAACAACAATCATTCCTACCTGAAAAATCCGGCCATTCACACTTTAACTCAAGTCTTCCCAATATTCATAACAAACACTCCGTTTACACAAGAGTTGTGCTCGATAGTCACTAATTAAAATCCTGCTATTTTGGTCTAGCTAAATATCACTACCGTGAAAAAGCATCTAGGCTTAATTTACCTTGAAATTAAATCGTCGACTCAAGCCTCAAAGAGAAAAACACAAGATTTTTATTTTCATATCTCAACTTTTTCAAGTCATGGACAGTCTTGCATCAACATAATTAACACACTCTACATTACATTGCTCTTCTACACTGCGCCGCAAATTTAACGCATATTTTCCAAATTTCCTAGCTTTTGACTGTGAAGATTTCCTCAGTTGGTCAGCGGATTTGAATAATTTTTTGTCGAGTCAAAGTTCTGTTCTTGCACAAAATTTACGCTGTTAGATAAGCAAACAGATGAACTATTGTTCAGGGCGTTTAAAGACTGTCATGGTTTTTTTGATCAAAAATTGAAACATTCCGCCGATATCCGATCTTAGCCTGATGTCTTCAGAGTAATTTGAATCTTGAATCGTCTGTTTGTCCTGAGCCATTCGAGAGATTTTCAATTTTTATGGCCGGTCACATTTTCCGCTCTAAATTTAGGTACTTATTTATTTAGCCCAGAATACATTTTAAATACCTATTTGTAAAATCCACAGCGAGAAATCAGTCGCTGTTCCCGGACCGGTACAGACAGCTTATAAATCTAGTATAAAAATATACACATATTATACGGACTGTATACAACTCAACGACCCTTGAAAAGCTCTTATTCCTAGTTTTCCTTAAACTGATGAGAGAAAATTCATGTTTCAATGACTCATAGGTATGCAAAAATTTGGTTCAGATCCACTGGTCTTTCTAGAGTAAAGGAGCTATTTTTGTTTACTATTTTTAGTAGTTTGTTTCGAAGCGCTTGCAATAAAAGCCATACTGTTCACTTGATAATAAATCATAGATTGGAGGAATTCAGGGAGTCCTGACTATTTTAATTTATATTTCTTATTTTGACTTATTCTCCTGACTGCGTGTAATTGTTATTATAATCAAAATTAATTCCGGGGTTTCAGTCATTTATTGTCTCTATTTATCAATTATAATTAAATGAAATAAACATAGAATATTTATTTTATCAATTATAATTAAATGAAATAAACATAGAATATTAACTAACACCCGGTATATTGAAGAATTTTGCAAACCAAAAATAATATCCTCAAAATACAAAGAAAAATAGCTGAAAGTAAAAGAAATCAATATAAACAGTATTTTATTCGCCTTGTG